AAGAGTATTGAGAATACCATGGATTTCTAGGAAAACAAACAGATTTGTCCTGGAAAGGGTTAAACCGGTTGGCTCCTTGGAGGCAAGGATTCTAAGGCTCCATCTAACATACTTTGGACATGTTGTGAAGAGAGACAGGTCCTTGGAGAAGGACATCATGCTTGGTAGGGTGAAGGGACAGTACAGGAAGGGAAGGCCCTCTATGAGGTGGATTGATTCAGTGACTGGGATAATCGGGATAGGAGTGTCAGAGACAGTCGATTGGCACAGGACAGAGCAGGGTTTAGGCTGTTATACATAGGGTCGCCATGAGTCGCAAGCAACTCGACAGCACATAACAACAACAACTGGAATGCCCAAATATAATCCAGGACTCAGGATTCTTTTACTGAATTTGATACTCACACAGCATTTTCATCATAGGGTGACTGATCTATCCATTGCCAATGATTCTTTCTTTCTAGATCTGACAGCCCCACATAGTAAGCAGTATATTTCTTCAGTGTCTTGCTGATGAATTGCTGAGGGAAAAAGAGAAAGAATTCACAGACTTTAGAGTATTAAAGTAAGTCTAGTGGCCTAAGAGTAAAAAGCTGCACTGCAGTCTCAAAGGCACATGGTTTGAATCCACCAGCTTCTCTGTGAGAGATGGATGGGCAATCTCTTTGTGTGCAGTTTACCTGCCTCTGAAAACCCATTGGACAGTCAGATATGAGTCAATTCTGAGGAAGGCAAGTTTATATGCATGATTTATGAACATTTAAGAAAGAGTTCTAATTTTGATCGTTCTCATTTTTAATTTCATACTCACTCCCCCCCCCTTTTATTTTTCTTCTCTAAGAAATTATCTCATTATCTTACCTTATTTCTTTCTGTTAAGATAGATCCCACTCATAGCTGGACTTCCTGGGTATTTCTGAGGTTGTAACACAAGAAGAGATTATCTTTCTCCCACAGAGATAGATTAGGACTACTAAGGAGAATTGGTCTTTAATTCAGCAGTAGAATCCCCTTCAGACTATGCCATCAGAGGCCCCTCATCCAAGACATTGTTGCTATTATGTACCATCAAGTCACCTGCAATTCATAGTGACTCAATAGTTCTGAACACTATCTATTCTGATCCAGTCTCACTGTCTCTGCCACACTTACCACCATTACACCAGTTACTGGGTCAATCCTTCTCCTCCAGGGTCTTCCTTTTCTATGCTATCCCTCCACTCTTTCAAGCCTGGTGTCCTTCTCCAAGGACTGGTCCCTCCTGGCAATATGCTCAAAGTATATGAGACACAGTTTCAAAATTCTTGCTTCCAAGGAACAATTTGGTTTTACCCTCTCCAGAACAAACCTATTTGTTCTCTTGGAAACTCATGGACTGTTCTTTATTCTTCTCCAGCACCACAACTCAAAGGCATCATCTATCATCCTATTCATTGTCCAGCTCACTGGTGCAGAACAAAAAATTGCACAGATCAGGTGGCCTAGATCAGGTACACATTAGTCTTTAAACTGACATCTTTGCTCTTTAGCACTCTGGAAAGGTCCCTGACTACAGATCTTCCCAATGGAACGCATCTTTTAATTTCCTAATTTCTGACGCCAAGAGTGTTGGATGTGGAACCAAGCAAGTTGAAATTGTTAACAATCTCAATCTCTTCTCTATCTACCATTGTGCTGCCAATTGGCCCATAGGTGAGAAACTTAGTTTTCTTGATGTTGTGTTTCAATCTATATTGAAGATGGAAGCCCTTGACTTTCTATAGCAACACCACAGATCTTCCTTAGTTTTGGCTAGTAAGGTTGTGTCATCTGCATAATGTTGTAGATAATGAGTCTTCCTCCAGTTCTAATACCATATTCCTCCTCATAAAGTCCAGCCTGTTCTGTAGAAATAATGAAAAGTCATGGAGGCAGGATGCATTCCTGATGCACTCTTTTCCTGATTTTTGACCATGTAGTGTTTCCTTCTTCTGCGTTGACGATTGCTTCCTGGTGCAAATATTGGTTTGGAATGAGCACAATTAAGTGTTCTGGGGTTCCTATTCTTCTCAAGGTTAGCCACAATTTGTTGTGATCCACACAGCCAAATGCCTTTGCATAGTTAATGAAACACGGATAGACATCCCTCTGGTATTCTCTGTATTCAGCCAAGATCTATCTGACATTAGCTATGATATCCTAGTGCCATGGCTTCTTTCCAACTCAGCTTGCATTTCTGTCGATGCACTATTCTAACAGGGTGTTTTTTTAAATAATCTTCAGCAGGACCTTGTTTGTATGTCATATTAATATTGTTTTATAATTTCCATATTGTCAGATTTCCTTTTTTTGTGGGAGTGGGGATGGGGATGGGAACAAAAATGTATCTCTTCCAGTCAGTTGGCCAGGTAGCTGTCCTCCAGATTTCTTGGCAAAACCTAAGGAGCACATCCAGGATAGCATCTGTTTGTTGAAATATGTCAATTGGTACATCATCAGTTCCTGGGGTCTTGTTTTTTGCCACTTCCTTCAGAACAGCTTGAGCATTCTCCTTCATCACCATTGCTTCTTGATAATATGTTATTTCATGAAATTATCCTGTGTCAGCCAATTCTATTTGGTACAGTGACTCTTTGTACTCCTTTCATCTTCTTTTGATGCTTCCTGTATCATTCAATATTCTGCCTATAGCACCTGGGGCTGGCGTCACAAGTGACTACTCCAAAAAGTAGTATTTTTCAAATTATGTATGAGACAATGATTGAAGATTTTTTAATAACTCCTATTGGTTTAATTTCATTTATGATTATTGAGTGTGCTCCTTCAAAGTCAATGTCGTTTCTCTACCTATTTAATACTTCTTCATTGTCCTTTATTTTATGATATATAAAATATATGCCAAAAAGTTACATGCCAAAAGCACAAATGAATATATCGGCTTAAAATTTTCTTATCCTTGCTCTTAGCTCCCCTGTGTTCTATTTTTAATGCCCCATTTCCTTTGGGAGAAGTTTTATTAAAGCAGGAAGAAGGTGTTGGATATAAAGTCTCAGAGTCTCTATTTATTTCATAAAATCCTTCTGCCACAATACCATATACCAGGACAATAAAAATCTCCTCTCAGCTAGCAGGGCTTCTGCTTCATGTTCTTTTCAAAAGTACCTGCTCCTCCCTGCTATTGATCACCAGCAGATGAGCTCCCATCTCAGTGCATTTCTTCTTACTGTCAGTCCAAGTTTTGGATTCAGCAGGAATAAAGTAGCAGCTCGTATTAGAGTCCATCCAATGTTCTGGACAGCAGCCCCACATTTTTTCTGTATTGGGAAAAGGGACATGTAAATGTAACAAATGCAAATAGTTTGTAAAGTGTTCATATTATTAACATTGAGGACTAAAGGAAGATTCTTCCTTTTAGAAGATAGATTATATAGACTTTTACTTCTTTCCCTCACTGTTGTGATGGTGGTATGCTGTTGATTCAGAATTGACCCATAGCTGACCCTCAAGTGGGTTTTCAGAGACAAGAAATCATGAAGAGATTGCCCATTCTGTGGAACAACTGTGTGCTTCTGTGATTGCAGTGAAAACAACTTTGAAAGAGAACAGACTTTCCAAGGACATTAAAACCCATGGCATAATGTGGTGATTTGAAGAGTTTCTCTTAAGCACAAAATCCCAGACTTAGAATTGAAAATGTGGAGACCCAATAACATGTGCAGTGAGGTCATATGATAAAAGGAGAAGGCCAACAAGGACCTTTTCTACTATAGCCAAAGAACTAGGCAAGGAGCAGCTTGGCGAGCAGTAACTATTCAACTACCACCAAAGACCACAGAAAACAACCCAAACTGTGGCCTCCTGTCCAAATGAAAAGACTCATTCCAATCAAGTTGAGTCTTACTAATCATGACCCTCTTCAGGTTTATAGGTTGTGAATCTTAGTGGAAAGAGAATGCTTATCTTTTCTTATAGAATCACTGGTGCATTCAAACTGCCCAAGATGTGTGGCTTGTTGGTTAGCAGGGCCACACATGCTACAGGCTATAACACCAGACACTTTACTTCTACCCTTGCAAAGCTGTAAAAGGGTGCTCCAATATCCTGATAGGGTTGTTTAAGAGAAAATCAAGCAGGAAGTGGGATTTTTATTTCCATAATCAGTAAGGAGTCCTCTTGGAATTTCACTCCTATCAGTAGTAATGCTACACTCACCCAACTTCCCACTAAGTTGATATCAAAGTCTAGTGAAGAGTGAGCAGTTTTGCCATACTTGATAGTAAAAAGAATACCCTCACTGCTGTATCTGTGGAATCCATATATTGGTAGGAACTGTTGAGACCTCAACTCATAATAACCCTGTGTACAACAAATCATTGCTCATAGTCTATATATTACTCATTGATCTCTGTGTTGCTCACAGTATGTATGTGAAGCTTTTTGTTTTCTTTGTTGTTGAGATGTAATCTACTGAAGGCTGTTATCTTTGATCTTCCTTAGTAATTTCTTCAAGTCCTCTTCACTTTCAGCAAGGAAAGTTGTATTATCTACATAGCACAAGTTGATGAATAATCCTCCAATTCATAGTTACATTCTTCTTCATATAGATCAACTTCTTAAATTCTTGCTTAGCATGCAAACTGAATGGTTATGATAAAAGGATACAGCCCTTAAGCACACATTTCCTGATTTTAAATCATGCTTTTGTTCTAACAGTTGTTTCTTGGTCTGTGTACAGATGTTGAATGAGCACAATTTAGTGCTCTAAAATTCCCATTCTTCTCAGTGTTACCCATACTTTATTATGTTCTCATAATAGAACTCTTTTGCATAATCTATAAAACATTACTGGTATCCTTTGTTTTCAACCAAAACCCACCTGACATCAGCAATGATAGCCCTCATTCCACATTCTTTTCTGTGCCAAGCTTGGCCATCTGGCAGTTCCATGATGGACTATACTTCAGTTCCTTTTTAATAACCTTCAGTAATATTTCACTTGCATATGATATTAATGATATTGTTTGATAATTTTAAATGAGTGAGCATAAACTCTCTTGAAAAAGAAAAAATAGGAGGAAAGGTAAATAATCCAATAGAAAAATGGGCACAAGATATGAACAGACACTTCACCGAAGAAGACATTCAGATGGCTAACAAGCACATGAAGAAATGTTCAAAATCCCTAGCTCTAAGAGAGATGCAAATCAAAACAACTATGAGATATCTCACCCCAGTCAGAATTGCAAAATTTAACAGAACAGCAAGCAACAAATGCTGGTGAGTTTGTGGAGAAACTAGAACCCTTATTCACTCTTGGTGGGAGTGTAGAATGGTGCAACCACTGTGCAAGACGGTATGGCGCTTTCTCAGAAAGTTGCAAATAGAGATACCATTTGACCCAGCAATTCCATTACTGGGAATATACCCTGAAGAGACCATAACTGACATCCAGGCAGATATATGCACATCCATGTTTATCGTGGCTTTGTTCACAATAGCAAGGAGTTGGAAACAACCCAGGTGCCCATCAACAAACGAATGGATAGAGAAGCTGTGGTATATTCACACAATGGAATACTATGCTGCATTGAAAAACAAGGAACTCATGCAATATTATTCAAAATGGATGACCCTGGAGGACATTATGCTGAGTGAAGTATCTCAGTCACAAAAGGACAAATACTGCATGGTGTCACTGTTGTAAAGAAGGACTGACCTCAGGGTTGGGAGGATACTGAGAAGGATGGGTTCAATAATGTATACTGCATTGAAACAGATGAGGGAGAAAACTGTTTAAGAGGGAAAATTATTAGGGATTTTTGTCATGACAGAAGTCCAGAGTGAAGGCTGTATAGTGGAGTGAACCTGGTGGGGAGGGATTATAAAACAAAGAATTTTTCTTTTACTCTTGCAAGAGGGCAGTGTACTGGGAGGGGAGAAAAGTGTGACAGTGAATCAATGGAAATCCAAAGTCTCTGTAAATTTTCATTGAAATTAGTAATAAATTTTTTTAAAAAGGGGGGAAAAAGATTGTATCCTTTCTTCTTACCTATACAATCTGTCAGTCCATCTGGTTGAGTGTCTTACTCTCTTTCACTGTCTCTCTCTTTTTCCAAACATTAGGTCCTTCTCCAAGGAATAGCTTACCCTAGCAAGATGCCCAAGAAGAAGCTTTGCATATTTGCTTCCAAGGAGTACTCTGGCCACAATATATCTTCTCTTCTCCAAGATACAATTGTTCTTTTGGCAGTCCACAGGATATTCAGTACTCTTTTCTAACACTACAACTCAAAGGCATCAACTCTTCTTCTATCTTCTTTATTCATTGCCAAACTCTCAGTAGGATAACAAGTGATTGAAAACATGATGGCCTGAATCAGGCACACCTTAGTCTTTAAACTTACATCATTGTTCCTCAATAATTTGAAAAGGCCCCTGGCTACAGATTTTCCTAGTTCAATACATCTCCTGATTTCCTGACAGCTGTCACCAACAGTGTTTAATTGTGGATCCAAGTAAGATGAAGTTGTTAGAAGTCTTAATCTTTTCTCCATCTATCATTATTGCCTATTGGTCCAGTGCTGAGAATTTTTCTTTTCTTGATGCTGAGATGCAATACATATTGAAGACTGTATTCTTTCATCTTCTGCAACAAGTGAATCAAATCTTTCTTACTTTCAGCAAGTAAGGTTGTGTCATCTGCATAATACAAGTTATTGATGAGTCTTCTTTTGATCCTGATATCACATTTCTATTCATAGAGTCCAGTTTCTTGAATAATTTGCTCAGCATACAGATTGAGTAGGTATGAAGAAAGGATATAGCCCTGGTGAACATTTATCTTCATTTTAAACCACGTAGTATTCCCTTGCTCTGTTTGCACAACAGTGTCTTTGTCTAGGTACAAATTTTGCTTTAGCACAATTATATGTTCTGGTCTTATGCATTTTTATACTTATAGTTAAAATGACTATGAGTTTCAACTTCTTATGGTTGTCTCTCTATGAATTTTACTAGAAATATTAAGATTCTTATATAGTATATATAAAAACAAATTATAAACATTAATTTTTACCTTCAGTAATCAAATTTTCTTTCTTACACATAATATTTTGATGAACCATTTTGTGTAGATTCTGTTTTTCTTTGAAAAGCTGAGAATATCTTTGAAAGAAAACTAGAAAAGATAATAGAAACCATTTAATTTCCTGGTAATGTTACAACTTTGCTTTGATTGTTTTTCTTGCATTGAGCACAGGAATAAAATCTGCAAAAGTATAATTACTTGAGTAGAAGGAACTTAGCTTTTGAAAACATTTCCCATCACTCCACCATCAGCATAACTCTAATTGTATTGATTTTGAAACTATGGGCTCCTCTAGGAATAGCTGAATGATCATGTGTTATTGAAAGAACACCTGAGAGTACAATTAGAATGAATCTGATTCTATTTCAATATTAAATGTTTGATCCAGGCAAAGGCCAAGCTAGTGGATGGGAGAGGAGGTGGAGGATAAGTAATTAAACATCTCTCTATTTGAGGATGTACCCATCATGAGTATTTGAGGGAAAGAATGCAGCTTATTCTGAGGTACTCTGGGTTAGCTTGAAGCATAAATAATTAGAGCAAGACAAAACAATATTAATTAGAACATTATTCATTTCCTCTTCTTTTGTCATATCAACAAACTGTTAGTCCTCAGCATTCTTACATGCTCAATTTTTTCCCCATTAAAAATTCAATTACATGCTCATCCTTCTCAGAAACTGACTTTTCTCCCTTCCATCTCTCCTTAACTTCTATTTTCTCCTCTTCCCACCGTATTCTGACTTCTGCTTCCACCATTCCACTAAGACACTCTTGCAATAGATTGTAAATTCCTTAGAAGCTGTACTTAAAGGCTATTTACTAGTCTTCTTCCTATTAGACCTTCCTTAATATTGGATCCTCATTTTCTCTGCCCTTGCTTTTTCAGGCCCTAGACTCTCTCTTGCTGCTGCTGTTTATTGTTGCTTTTATGTGCCTTAAATTAGAACCTCCTCCTAGCTGACCCTCCACATGGTTTCAGAAGCAGTAAATTACATAGGAGGAGAATGCTCATCTTTCTCTCACAGAGCAGCTGGTGAGTTTGAATTGAATGCCTTTGGGTTGGTAGCACAGCTCTTAACCACTAATCACCTTTAAAAGTACTTTTTCTCCATTCAACTCTTTAAAAAAATAGAATTTTAATTGGGATTTTAAACAAACATTTACAGAGAAGTTAGATTTTTTTCATTCACTCTTTTCACACTTTACTCCCTGTCTCTCCTTTCTCCCTCCTCCAGTTCACTTAAAATAATTTTATTCATTGATGCATAATTACCTATCTCCTCCTCGCCTCAGTCCTCTTTGCAATGATATATCTCTTATTCTGAGCTGTTGTTGCACATATAATGCCTAATATACTCTTTTTTAAAAGACTATCATAGTTCCATCCTTATCCTTTTTTTAAACTAAATTTTCTCCCTGAGTGATGTCATGTATTCTTATTGCTTCAATGGCTATCTTCATATGCAAATGACTTTTACAACTCAAATATTTCTTCTGATATTCAGACAAATATGTCTCCCATATCCAGGTGCATATTTAAGGTTCCCACAAGTCACATGCACTGACCATGTCCAAGGCTTAAATCACTCCCTTCCAACTCAAATCTGTTATTCATCCTGTCCACCACTTTGAATAACTTCCTGATGTCTGAGTTGACTGAGGCAGAAACTTATAGTTATATTTTACTTTTTTAAAATTTTCTTATTTTGTATGTGTGTGCATGCTGTCAAATCTGATCTGACTAGTACAGGACAAGATTGTCCCTCCTTCTCCAGCAGAGTATCTCCATGCACCTCTGGGATTGCAGTGCAGCTTCTTGCCACTAGGCCACCAGAGCTCCCTTAGTTACTTCACTTTTAAATCTAAGTACCTAGTTTCTCCCTCCTTGATTCTAATTTCCTGTTGTCCTCTTTCTTTACTTAAGATCCTCTTCTTTTTCATCACAATTGCTAACCTTAGATAAAGCTTCACTGTTTCTCATTGTCTTAATGAATAAGCCTTATAATTACTGTGTCATAAATTATGTGTATGCATTAATTTTCTTCTGTAAAAATAAAATTCCTGTAAGTCATGTTTGATTACACCACTTCTATACATAAAATTCTTCAGTGACTCTACATAAGGGTAATTCGTTGCAAACATTTTTAACAGTTCTCCATTCTTTCCTGTAGCTGTATCACTTTATGACTTTGAAGTTTTTCTCATTAAGAAATGAAGTTTATTTCTTCACCACTTGAATGTGGGATGATCCTATGACTTCCTTTGGCCAACATAGTGTGGTAAAAATAGCACTGTACCAGTTCTAAGCCTAGAGTTTCAAGAGACTTAGTTTGCTTCTCCTCTGGCACAGGCTGTTGTTGATTGCCTTAGAGTTGAGCACAACTCCGAGCAACCCTATGAACAAAAGGCCTGAAGCCTTTCTATAACTATCGACATTTATCCAAGTTCTGGAGTTTCCAGAGGCATGTTGTTTAGGAATTATTACCCTATAATTGTTCTGTTGTTCCAGGCCACATCTTATCAACCTACCAGAAGTTGAGTAGCAAGGTGACTGCTATCAGAATGGATGAATGAACTCAATTTGAACAAGAAGAGTCTCCAGCTGAGCCCAGATCTAGTGGTCAACCTCTTGTATTTACTTTGAAAATAATTTCTGGTGGCCTAGTGACTAAGGTGCGGCATACTAACCAAAAACTCAGCAGTTCAAATACCAGCTGCTCTGATAGAGAAAAGGGATTTCCTCATTTCATAAATTTTACTAACCCAAAACTCAGCAGTTCAAATCTACCAGCTTCTCTGATAGAGAAAAAGTAATTTCCTCATTTCATAAATTTTTTTATAGCCTCAGAAGTCATGGTGTTTAAAAGAATAAGCTCAAGCAGTGGATTTGATTTGAATTTTTGTACTTTAAGCAAACAGCTATCCATATTATATTGTAACCACTGATATGAAGATGAGCTGCTAACTAAAGGACAGGCAGTTTGAATCCACCAACCTCTCTACAGAAGAAATATGGGCAATCTCTTCTTGTGCAATTTGCAGCCTTTGGAAATCCACTGGAGGCTCAACTGGTAATCAGTTTCAAATCGATGGCACATAACATCAACAGCATTACTGTCTACAGTTCTTGAGACCAAGAAAGATCTGTGGGTCTGACTGGTCTCTGTCTGGCACAATGCCTGAGATGTAGTAGCTTCTCATCACTGCTTACTGAATAATCAAATGACTGAGTAAAATATATATCTTTTAAAATATCTTTTTATTGCATATCTACTATATTTATAAAATTTTATAAACTCTTATAGCCAATGATAAGCAAAACTTTACCTTTTCTAAATTCTACTCCATAGGATTTTCAAGTTTATAATCTTTATGGAAGCAGACTGTCACATTTTTTTCCCCAAGAAGCAGCTAAGAGCTTCACAACCATGCATGTTTTAGTTAGCAACTCAATTCCTTCTTCAAATTCTTTACCAGGGCTTCTTTAAATTCCCAACAGACTGTCACTAATTATGTGTCCCACAAAGGCTTGTCCAAATTTTTTTATATACTTATTGTTTATTGTCGGTATCTGGTAGACACTCTTGGTAAAGCAGGCATTCCTTATTGATTCAATAGCATACTTACTGACAAAAGCAATAAAAAATGAGATTGCCAATAGCAGCAGAAGTATCAGCAGTGAAGCAAAAAGCTGCTTGTGGAAACCAGGTTTACTTTTGTGAGGGCTGGTCTTCTCTTCCAGAGCTGAAGGAGAAACTAAATTAGATTCATAAGTAATATATTCTGCCCTTTCTTCCTCTTCTTGCTTACTTGCTTCCTTTTCTTGGATGACACACAATTGCTAGCTGTGTGACTTTTAAAATAATAATAGGAGTAGAAAAGAGGAATATGAGGGAAATAGCAATGCTCATTGGAGGAATTTGAGCAAATACATTAAAACCCAAGTGTAGACATCTACACAGTATATCTATCATTAAGAGATAACTAAGATTTTTCTCTCCCCCCCCAGAAATTTTGAGAGCATATATACATATGTACACATTTTCCCACGTAACAAAAACTCCATAAGCACTGATTTGTAATTTACTATTTTTCTTTGTACTATATCATAGACTTTTTCACAATGCTAAGTTATCTTCTTTAGAACCATTGTATTCACATGAAATCTTACTACATATTGCTCTCTAAACTGTTCTTCTATTTAATAACTTTAAGTAGTGCTTCTGCTGTGGTTGGTAGTCACTGTTGAATAAATTTAGATATATTTAGGTGTCCTCAGGTTTGTACAGTAGAACTGTTGTTGGAGGTTTTCTAGACTGACCTTTCAGGAATAGAAGAGTTCTATTTTTCAAGATCATTCTGGGTAGGTACAAACAGCCAAACTTTGGCTAGCACTTGACCATTTGTAATATGCAGGGACTTTAAACAATATTATAGTCAATAATTCTTTGTAATCATCCTTGATCATGTCCTTAGAATATGGTCAGTTTATTAAGTCCCCACTTCACAGTTAAGGAGCACTTTTGGAAAGTTATATTCTCTAGCAGGGGTGAGGGATGCTCTGTATTATGTTATATAATTGCTAATTAGAAAAAAATATATATACACTCATTTATATCTATTTATAACTGGAATAGCATACTGCAATAGAAGCTGTATTTATTTCTGGATAAGCTTATGTATATTTTAAATTTTGTGTACTTTATAATTTTTTTCCCTTTGATGAAAACTGTTTTTTAAAAAAGGAAAAGCTTTTCCCTTCTTGCCTGTCTATATCTCTGGAGAAATATTTTCAAAAAGTCTGAATAATTCTGGTCCTCTGTCTAGTTCCTTATTTTTTTTATTGTCTTTTTTGCTAAATCTAAGATATCCTACATGTTACCTAAGTGGTCTTTTATCAACTTCCAATCTTAATTTAATCTACTGTGGAGATACAATTTTAATGGGTTTTATGATTTCAGAAAATTTTCTCTATAGATTTAAGGCAATTACCTTCTTTGGTAGATATTCTAATCTTTTATCTATAAACTTTTTAGTTCTACTTCAGTCCAGCACGTTTTTGAAAAATTAAATACTCTTTTAACACTTAAGACACATTAGTACATCAATAGCACCTGTGTCTGGGCCTGACATAATTTCAAGAGCTGAATCCTATAAGTTAACTTCAACTCCATTGAGACTCAAAAGATAACAGAAGCACAATGTCTCATAATTACTAACACTTCAGTTAGCTTGGGACTGGTGTACCTTTTTCACATCTTAGTTTTCTCCTAGCTTCCAGAGTTAATGCTACAGATGTTGTTGTTATTTTTGTTGTTGTTGTGTATCATTGAGTCAGAACCAACCCACAACTGACCCTCCAGCAGGTTTTCAGAGGCAGATAAATTGCATGGGAGGAGATTCCCCATAGATCATTATACATTTTCTTCCCTATTTAACTATATGTAGTCCACTAACATTTATCTACAGAAAACCCAATCTTACAGGAATCATCAGTGTTTCCAGTCATGACCAAGATCACTCGTAAAACCAGCACTAACATCTAGATCTTGTTTCTAATACCTTCTCTAAAATCTTATCTCACCACCAATTCCAATCACCAGAAAATGGATTTTACCTGCAGGAGATCCTGGGTTGGCACCAGAAGTCTTGGATTCATTTTTGAATTTCACTTCAGCATAGGTTATCTCTGAAGCCATGTTGATAAGAAGTTTCCACTTTCTTTACAAAATTTATGTCATCCTTTCCTTAAAATGTCTCTAAAAAATGAGAACTAAACGTGGTGGAAATTATGATACTTCCTATAACTCAACTACAGGAGATTGGAAGCCCCATTAGAAAAGTACTATTGAGAAGTATCTCATGAAAACAAAAACCCTCAATATGAGGAAACTGAGTTCACAGACACCAAGTTCATTTTATTAGCATGAGAATCCCAGCTCTTAAACACACCCCCAGAGCTGAAATCTAAGAGGGAACTAAAAAGAGTGGAGAAAGAAATAGGAAGGAAAAGAAAGGAGGAACCTTGTATCTCTGCTAAGAATCTCTGTTGAGAACAGTCTTCTCTGAACTCACCATGAAGAATAAAATTCCAATGACTTATGTTTGTATAGGCTTGGAGAGTTCAGTGGTGACACAATGGTTGAGCATTTTACCTGATAACCCAAAAGTTGGTAGGTGGAACCCACCCAAATGTTCAAAGAGACAAAAGACCTTGTGATCTGTACCAATAAAGATTACAGATTAGGAAAGCCTATGAGGCAACTCTACTATGTCACGTGGAGTCATTAGGACATGACCTGATTGTGCACAGCAACACCATCATGTAACCATTGAACGTTTACATCATAGTTAGCATCCGGTATATTCCCCCAAGTTGAATTCTTTCTATCTGGAGACAACACTCCCACACAGGAGTTTCAACAAAAGATCAATGATTACAGCTGATTCACCAAGTCCCACAGAAAAGTCTTGGATAGTGGGCATGGTTGCATAATTACCAAAATAGAAAAAATAAATATTTACACATTAAATCTGCAGCTCATGGAGACTCCATGTATGTCAGAGACACAAATATGTACCAAGTAATAAAAATCTAAGTCTAGACAATTATGACATTATTGTTTCAAAAGCAATAGCTGAGATTGTGCTAAGCAAAGATTTCTTAGCATAACAGAAAAAAATAATAAATGGAACATGAAACTTCAAAATTTTATACTTTAGCTGCATCATACCTTAGGTCTTGATATCCCCCTTTTAGACAGGCAATTGCTGGCTTATACACTTTCATGAATGTAGTTGTTGGTGGAATAATTGTAAGGGAGAAAAACTCCAAACACACAATATAAATGAATGAAATAAGGAACTGTATGGAACACAATGCCCATGCATGATACACAGTGTAGGTGAATGATAAAAATATTAATTTAAAAAAATGACACTTCAAAAGATTATTCAAAAGGTGAAAAATATGCTGCATACTGTGAGAAATGTAATAAATTATCTGAACCCAGAGTACATAAAGAACACTTAAAACTCACAAACCAGACAGGCAACCCAGTTTAAGAATGTGAAAATATTTGAATTGGAATATGACTAATAAGCACATGAAAAAATGATAAATTTCATTACTCATTTGGGAAATGTAAATCAAAACCACAATGAGAAAGACTTCTGTGCATCAAAGGAATTTATCAACAAAGTGAAAAAAGAGTCTACCATTGTTATTGTTGTTGTTAGGTGCCATCAAGTTGTGTATGACTCATAGCGACCCTATGAAAAACAGATCTCTACTGTCAACCCTGCCTTATCCTGTACCCTCCTCACAATCTCTGAGGAGTCCACTGCTGCAGTCATGGTGTCTGTCAATCAACCTGATTAGGAGTCTCCCTTTCCTTCACTGTACTCTCACCTTTCCAAGCATAATGTCCTTCTCCAATGAAGGTTGTTATATGCCATTGAGTCAACTCTGACTCATAGAGATCCTATGTACAACAGTTCTGAACTCTGCTCTATCTTAAGCCAATTTTGTCATCTCTGACACATCTACCCCCATTACCCCAGCCACTGAGTCAATCCATCTCATCCAGGGTCTTCCTTTCTTGTGCTGTCCCTCCATCCTTTCAAGCATGATGTCCCTTCTCCAACAACTGATCCCTCCTTCCAACATGTGTAAAGTATGAGACAGAGCTTCAAAATCCTTGCCTGGTTTCACCCTCTCTAGCATGTTTGTTTTCTTAGCAGTCCATGGTATTTTCAATACTTTTCTCCAGCACCACAACTCAAAGGCATCAATTCTTCTGTCATCCTTAGTCATTGCACAGCTCTCTGATGCATAGCAAGTAATTGCAAAGACCATGGATCATGCACACCTTTGTCACTAGACTGACATCATTGCTCTTCTGTACTCTGGTGAGGTCTCTGACAGCTGATTTTCCCAATGCAATTTGTCATTTTATTTCCTGGATGCTGGTACCGAGAGTGTTACCAATATATCATGATGCTGCCAATTGGCCCAATGAAGTGAATCTTTGTTTTCTTGATGTTGAGCTTCAATCCATATTGAAGACTGCAGTCCTTGACCTTCTGCAGCTAATTCCTTAGGTCCTTCTCAGTTTTGGCAAGCAAGGTTGTGTCATCTGCATAACGCCCGTTGTTGGTGAGTCTTTCTCCAATCGTGATGCCTCATTCCTCAATGTAGAGCTCAGCCTCCCAGCCTCCCACATGACCTGTTCAGCACATAGATTGAAAAGTAATGGAGATAGGATGCATCCCTGGTGTACACGTTCCCCAATTTTGAACCATGCTGTGTTTCTTTGCTCTGTTCTGATGACTGCTTCCTGGTCCAACTATAGGTTTCACATAAGCACAATCAAGTGTTCTGTAAGTCCCATTCTTCTCAGAATAGCCTTTCCTAATAACATGCCCAAAGTATGTTAGATGAGGCTTTGCCTCCATTTTGACCTCCAAAGAGCATTCTGGCTGCTTCTCCAAGACGTATCTGTTTGGTTTACTTTTCTCATTCCAATGAAATTTATCATTTATTCCCATTTCTTCACTCTCCACCAAATTGTTATCCTAGAAGTTTCCACCCTTCTCCCTTTTTAGTCCTCTTCCCCAGTTTGAGAGTTCTTCATTGTTGTTTTCATGTCCAGTCTTGGCTTTGGTTTAGGGTTTTGTGGGGGTTTTTCTCCCATGTTATTTTGCTTTTGTTTCATTTCCCTTTTCTTTTTCCCACCTGATAATCCACAGTAACAATGTCCAGTTGCACATACTTCTCTTGCAACTTTACCCATTGGGCAAGACTAACAATCAGTCTCTGACTTGCCTGATCCATGAAAGACTTCAGCCAGCACTGGTCCAGTGTACCCTCAACATCTCTACACAAGCAGTGAACAGAGAGCTGCACATAAACTGTCATCCTCTATCACATCCACCATAAGACAAGAGGTAATACATCAAAAATTACCAAACTAACAAGGGACAGAACACATACAGCTCACTTGGATATATCAAAACAAAATACTACAAAAGCAACAAAAATCATGATGTTTCAGAGGTAGCAGATAACTTTAAACTAGTTTTTTTTTTAAAATTGAAAAGAAGGAATAGAAGACTTATACAAAGAAAACTACTAAATACTACTACAAGAAATCTAAAAAAACCCTACATAAATGAAAAATTACACCATGCTCATGGAAGATTTAAAATTTTAAAAATGGCAATACTGCAAAAAGCAACCTAGAAATATAATAACATCCAAATCAAGAGTCTGCCAACATTTTTAAAAGAAATTTTTAAAATGCAATCACCAACTTTATAGTGAAAGAGACAATGGATAAGCAAACTGATACTTAAGACAAAATTAAAGAGACCTTGCACTTCTGATCTCAAACCCTGCTACCAAAGCAATTTGATACCAGTACAGTGGTAAGTACACAGACAAATGTAATGGAATTTAACCAGAAAGAAATCTATAAACCTATGGAATACTGGTCTTTGACAGAAATATGAAAGCCATTAAGTAGGGAAAAGAGCCTCTTCTAACAAATTGTGTTTGCAAAACTAATTTTACAGAAAAGTAAGACAAAACCCATATGTCACATCATATACAAAAACTAATACAAGATTGATAAAGTATCTAGGCATAAAATCTAAAACTATAAAAATGGTCCAGTGGTGAATATTTTTGTTTTCTTTTTAAAAAAAAATTATTATTAATTTCAATGAAAATTTACAGAGACTTTGGATTTCCATTCATTCATTGTTGCACTTTTCTCCCCTCCCAACCCTCCCCCCTAGTACACTATCCTCTTGGAAAAGTAAAGCAAAAATTCTTTCATTGTTTTACAATCCCTACCCCCAGATCCACTCCACTATGCAGCCTTCACTCTGGACTCCTGTGATGACAAAAAGACCTAATCACATATCCCTTTTAAACAGTTGTCTTCCTCATCTGTTTCAATGTAGTATACATTATTTATCCTATCTTTCTCAGTCTCCCCCAACCCCGAGGTCAGTCCTGTTTTACAACAGTGGCACCATGCAGTATTTGTCCTTTTGTGACTGAGATACTTCACTTAGCATAATGACAGAAGAAAAATAGATGCCTTCTAGTTGTGGTGCTGGAAAAGAGTTTTTAACATACCATGGACTGACAAGAAAACAAGTTAGTCTGTCTTGGAGAAAGTGAAACCAAATATCTCCTTGGAGGCTAGGATTTTGAAGCTCTGCCTCACATACTTTGTGCACAGGGCTAGGAGAGACCAGTCCTTCAGAAGCATATCATGCTCAGAAGGCTGGAGGGACAGTGCATGGGAGGAAGACCCCAAATGAGATGGATTGATACAGTTATCTGGGGTAATGGGGGTTGGTATGTTGGAATTAGTGAGATTGGCTCAGGACAGGGAAGGATTCAGAGCTGCTATACATAGGGTCGGTATACATCACAGGTGACTCAACAGCACATAACAACAACATATTACAATGGGTTGGGGTTTGTGTTTTTGTTTGTTTGTTTGTTTGTTTGTTTTTTTATTTAAGCCTCTTGTTTAGATTCACAAGACCTTAGAGAGGGCCTTTGTATTTAAAGTTGGTTGTTATTATATTTTGGAAGAACATTCTTCTGTCAATATGCTGTACTGAGGTAACCTGGGATTGTTGTGATGCTGAATCTTGTGCCATCGGGACATCAAATGCC